AAGAAATTTTCCTTAGTATGTCCCATTCTTTTGCAATGAGAACACTGAGGACGTCCTTTCCCACCACGTCTTCTAGAGCTGTGATTACCTCTTCCACGAGCAGAAATCATGCAGAAGAATCAGCAAGTTCCTGACTGTGTTTGCTTTTGATAGAAGGAACACGAAGTAGCCTTGTGATTAAACTCTCCGTAGAAGGAACTTCTTCTCTAGTTAGAATCTGGTCTCTAACATGATTAAACTCTGGATTCATAGCCCTAAGAATCATTACCATATACAATTTATCCAGCTTCATCTTTCTTTCTTCTAATGATTCTGCCTCCATGAACATTTTTAATTCTTCAACAGCTAACTGAGCTTCAGCAACAAAGGACATCATGGAATTATCCTCTTGCTTAAGGGAGACTAGTCTATTAGCAGAATCATAAAGTCGTTAAATATCATTAGCAAAGATATTTTGGGCCTTTTTCCCAAAAGAATTACATGTCTTGAAGGCTCGAAGAGTGCTCAAAATATTTAGTTCAACATATTGCCATAATAGTGCACAAAGTTGATAATCCAGTTTCTTCCATTGAGGAGCCTGATCTGCTGGTTTAGTACTTCCATCTTCTTCTAGATGATCATGAACTCCTTGACCTAGAAACCAGAGCTCAACAGAGGAAGCCCAAGACAAATAATTTTTCCCATTTAATTTTTCTGTGGTTATAGTCGGAGTCCCAGAAAAAGATACAGACACAGGTCCTGACATTTTCCAGGAAACAAGAAAGGACCAGCGTGCTGTCAGAGAGAGGACCGAGAGAGGCAGAGAGAAAAAAAACGCAGACCCACCACATTTTGTGACCGAGAACACAAAACAAAGTGCAGATCTAGCACCAGGGCGACGAGGCGAGCCAGATAGAGGTGGCCTGGAGCAAAACAACCACCGGGAGGGCGGCGCATGAGGCAGAGACAGAGGAAGCGAACACTGGGGTTGGGTCGCGCTCCTCGAGGCGAGACAAACCCAAGTGTCAGAGAGAGAAAAGGTGTCGCAGAAGTATAGCACCGGCGGCGAACAGCGGCGGATGGCGGCGGACGGCGGTGAACGGCGATTAATGCCAGAAAAAAAACAGAGATAGGCAGAGTGGGATGAACCCGCTCTGATACCAACTTGAAATAGAAAAAGGAAAATAAAGAACTGATTTTGAGAGCCTGAAATCATCTTCTTGTGTTCTCTTATTTATAGGAGATAAAAATACAGATTCAGAGATACAATTAATAGAGAGACATGATTAATCCTAGAGAAGATAAACAAATGCATTCTAGGAACTAGGTCTACAACTAATCTTATAAATGCCCAACAAGATACACTTGATCTAATAAATACTTCAACAGTCTTCAAGGATGGAAAGTTGGAAGTTCCTTCTTAAAATCAAAGTAGTATTCCTAGGTATCATCCTCTGGTAGATGATGTTTCCATTTTACTAACACCTTCATCACCGGCAAACCCCCTATATCTAATAGTCATCCGATCCAAAATTGATTCTGGCTCCTTTTCTGTGAAAGCGTCCTCCGACTGGTAAGGAAAATCAGTGGTTGTGGTTAAGTTTCCCACATGTTTCTTAAGTTGGGAAAAATTGAAATACATTGTGAACCTTGCTTTGCTTTGAGTTGGGAGATCAAGCATGTAAGCTACAGTATGAATGCAGTTTCAAAATAATATTTTGAAACGGTCGAAATACTTGGGACTTAGCTTAGAATTCCTCCTAAATGCCACAGACACCTTTCTATATAGGTGTGATTTTACGTAGAGAAAGTCACCTATCTAGAACCATCTATCACTCCTATGTTTGTTAGCCACCTGTTTCATCCGTTCTAGGACTCGTTTTAAATGAAATTTGATGAGCTTCAACATCTCATCTCTCGTGGCTAAACTCCTATCCACCAATTCCACTTTAGACTCTGCGGGAAGATAAGAAAGACTGATTGGAGTTGGTTGTCCATACATTATCTCATATGGAGTAGCCTTAGTTGCAGTATGGTGGGAAGTATTATAGCACCATTCAGCTAAAGGTATCACTTGCTTGCCATATGAACTAGGCAAACCTTTAATAAAATCCATAGTAACCTACTGCCATATTAGCTCTGGAATAGGAAGGGGTTAGAGCCAAGTGAAGCTATAGTGTCATACTTACATTGCTAGCATATAGAACATCACTGAATAAACTTCTTGACGCCATTAATTAACCTTTTCCCATATACAACAATCTTAACCCTGTTCATGGTAGCGCTAATCCTAGAATGTCCTACTCCAGCCGACGATTGTAACCACTATAATATATATTCTCTTAACTCTGAGTCATTACCAACTACTTAACTTACCCTCCTCCTTAATTCATCTTGCTGCCAATTATAATGTTTGTGAGAAGCCGATCCATCCTGCACTTCTTTGATCAACTTTTGCAGGTTGGTATCCTTCTCCCATGATCTGATTGTAACTAATGGGTCACCATGCTATTATACTCAAAAAGCTCCTTTTCTGAAAGGGCATCCGCGACTACATTCTCCTGTCCCTTTTTATACTCAATGGAAAAATAAAACTCCATGAGTTTAAATAACCATTTCTATTGGAGATCAATTGACAATCTCTGGTCCAGTAAGCATTTTAGGTTGTAATAATCAGTTTTGACAGTAAAATGTTTGTTCAAAAGGTAATGTCTCCATCTCTGAACCACAAATACAACAACCAATGATTCTTTCTCATATGTTGTCATATATTGTTGCTACAGATTGGAGGTTTTGCTAATATAAGCTATAGGATGCTGCTCTTGCATAAGAACTACCCCTATCCCACAATCAGAAGCATTTACTTCCACCACAAATTTATACAAAAAAATCAAGAGATTAGATGGGTGTGCAACTAAGTAGTTCCTTCAGTTTTTAAAAAGCCAGTTTTGCATTATGAGACCAGCTAAACCCATTATTTCTTAACATGGTTGTTAAGGGTTTCGCCACAACTCTATACCCTTTCAAAAATCTCCTATAATACCTTCTATTTTGTTGGGATCAATAGAAACACCAAAACCCGAGATGAAATGAAGGTATTCAATTTTATGGACAACAAAATAACATTTACTATTCCTACCAAACTAGTAATTGCTTCTAAGAGCTAGTAACACCTGCTTAAGATGATCCAAGTGTTCCTCAAGAGTCTTGTTGTACACTAGTATATCAGAAAAGAAAACCAATAAGAATTGTCTGAGAAACATTTGAAGCACAATAGTCATTAAACCTTGAAAAGTTGTTGGGCCATTAATAACCAAAATGCATTACTAGTACATATTCATAATGACCTCCATGTGTTCTGAAAGCTGTCATGTGCAGATCATAGGGGTTCATCCCTGCTTGGTTATACTCAGACCAAAGATCAATCTTGGAAAAAATTGAAGATCCATGAAGCTCATATAGTAAATTATCCACTAAGGGAATAGAAAACTTATTCTTCATCGTGCTCTTGTTCAACTCCCTATAATCAATACACAATCTCCATGAACCATTTTTTTTTTCTAACCAAAACCACAAGGCTGACGAACCGACTGTTGCTAATGACCCCCAATTTCAAATATTTTGTATCAGCTTATCAATGGTATCTTTATGACTTTTTCCATATCTATAAGGTCTCTTGCTAATCGGATTAGCTTCTTGAATCAAAGGTATCTTATCATCATAACCTTCCCTAAATAAGAGTCATTGAGTAGTCTTCAAACTACTGTAGAAGTTGATCTATAGTTGGCAGAATTACTAAGTGTTCTGCATGCATGAGAAAACTTCCTTCCTCCCCACACAGTTGTAGCACTGAAATGTGTACCCCATTAGCTAGAGTTTTGTCTAGTTGTTGGTTCTTGGCAAACTTGACTCCACTAGTAGACGCACCTCTCAAAACATGTCGTTTCCCTTTAATTCTGAATTCCATAGTGAGCTTGCCAAAATTCTAGGTTATGTCAACCAATGTAATCAACCACTCTATTCTTAACACCAAATCACACTAACCAAGAGGAATCAAAAACATGTTTGAAGTAAACGTGGTTTGTTGGATTGTCCACGTAAACACTATAACAATAGAAGAAATTGTCAATTTAGAGCCATCCGCAACCATCACTTGGATTGGAGTCTGTTTCTCAAGTCTGCACCCCAATTTCTGAGTCATATCTTCCTCTAACAAGTTATGTGTGGATCCATTGTCAATAAGAATGTGTGAAGGTTTCTTCTGTTGATACCTTGTGACGCTCATGGTCCTGAAATTAGCTACTTTAGTCAAGGCATTAATAGAAATTTGTGGTGACTCCTTATCTTGACCGTTGTTGGAACTACCTGGATCAACCACTATCTTTAAGAGAATCCCCAAGTGTCTTTTGCATCAACCCAACAAGCTCCATTAACCAAGTTCCTAACCTTGAACACATGTTTTTCTAGCTCCTTGATTGTCACCACATTACGAATTGCCTCTGCCATTAATATAAACTCCGAACGATCTTGAAGGTTGATACCAATTGTTGTGAAACTAACTAGTTCTAGAAATATCATGCACTCGAAGAACTAAAAGAATGATAGGGAACCCAGCTATGAAGAATCCAGAATGAATTATTATTGAGTTGTAGAAAGAGTTACAAGGAAGAGTCTGAATGAATTAACAAAAGCCCTCTACATACGAGATTTGCATTGCTATTTATAGCCAACTGACACAACTAACTTCTAACAAGTTTGACTACTAACAATTTCCACACTTAGCAACCTCTAAGTTAGACTACGGACATAATTTTCGTAACAAAATGAGCCGCAACAAATGAAAACAAAAATTAAAATTGCCCAGAACTCCTTATGTAAGATGTCTCAAAATATGAATTTTGTGTCTTACTCAACCCTTTAAAATGAGAATTGTTTCAACTTGATCATATTCCCCGTCAACCAATATCTCAACAAACGACACATAATATTAAACATCATAAGAAAAACAAAATAAACCACAATTACGCGCTACTTAGAACACGAGGTATCTGTTTGTTACCTAGAAGAACCTTTCCCAGTTCGTTTAATCCCGGAATCGCTCTCAGTATCAGCGTATTCTGGAACATCAAAATGAAAACCACATCACCAATCATTAGCGCTTCCCAGAAAACAAAAAATCAAAAAAGAGAAACACTACTCATACAACTCATAGCAGAAGTTAGTAAGTTGATTTTAACTCAGAAGAAGTAACAAAAAGAAAACGTGAAATCGGACGAACCTGTTTATCAAGAGGGTGGCGAAAATCGTCAGCGTCGAGGTCTCGGAAGGCAACAGCAGGACCAATTCTGCAAACGGGGAAACTTACCATTTTGCGGTTCTTCGGAACCTTAGGAAACGCCATGGCCGAAGCGCCGTCGAACCTGAACCTGTGCGACGGTAGGAAGCGGAGGGAGGGTTTGTGGAAGTGGCAGAGAGTGGAGAAAGGCGTGGAAGCCATTGAATCGAAGAAATGCAATCGCGAACTCGATGAGAATGAAAAGTGAAGTGAATGGGTGACTAATGTTTTGTTCTGTCATATGGGTATGGTAGATATTTGGGGGTGGATTTGTCTAAGTTTGTTGTTCACGTAAGGGTGGTTCTGACCACATTCGTGCCTATGGTACCTGTTTCGCGCCACTTCATTTTCTGTTGACTACTGCATCTTGTTAACCAATTGGTGCAGGGTTGTGTTCGTGTTGGTGTTCAGTTCAAATTATATTTCGCATTTTTTTTATTGACTAATATGATTGGAATCTAGATATACAAAACACGTCTCTTTATCCTTTTATAAATAAAACTATATTTGTCATTTTTTTACTTGAAAAAAAAATAATGCGCCTCACGGAAAATTCTTTAACTCCATAGTCCAATTCGATATATTAAAAAATAAGATTAGGTTGAAAAATTGAATTAAACCTATTTTGATTCAATTTATTTAAGTAATGATCTATAAAAATTTAGAGAAGAATAATCTATAAGATTAATTTATTTTATAAAATAATAATTATATTTAAAAAAATTAAAAAAAATATTATTTTATTAATATATATATATATATATATATATATTATAAATTAATTTAATATATATTTACTTATTTTAAAAATAAATATTTAATAATAAGATGTTTCACAATTATGATTATGATTAAAATTAATTACTATTTTTAATTAATAAATTATTAAAGATAAATAATGATAATAGAAAATAGGTTTTTAATTCTTATTTTGAGATTGAATTAATTCATTTTTTTATAATTTATATATTAAATCATTATATTTTAAAAAATATTTTCATTAATAAAAATTCATTTTTTTAAATATATTTTTTATTATATTTTTTTAATTAATTGATTTTGTACAAATGTCTTAATATTTAAAAAAAAATCAATTAGGCCTATTTACGTAACATAGGATTAAGTTAGGCTAAAAAAATTTGTCCATTTTAAAATATAAGTAAGATTGGGTCATCAAATTTTTTTACTTAATCCATAAGTCAAGACTGAATTGAATCACCCATTTTGATAGCTCTAATATTAGAACATCTTTACTCCAAAAAAATTGCTTTTTATTTTAAAAAATGATTGTAATTGATATTAAACAACTCATTATTTATTTTATTCTAATATATTTTTTAATAAATTTTAAATATATTATTCTCTTTTCCTATTTACCTTTTTTTAGGTAATTTACTTCACAAAATAATTATTAAAAAATTATTCTTGAAAAATAGTTCTTATATCATCTCTTTCCTCTAACAAATATTTTATTTAAAAAGGTAATCAATCAAGTTCCAAAAATATCCTCATTACTTATTAGAATATTGAAAATTACGGATAAAAACAAAAAAATAACTTAACATTATTTGCAAAACTGAATCACGTTTAATTTAATTTGAACTTCACCAATGTAACTAAATAAAAGTCATACTTTTATCAATAATAACTTCAATATACCTCATTATGTTTAACTAAATAGTCATAAAAAAATAATAAATTAATCTAAATGTGTCACCTTCTATTTTTCAATAAATAGCTGAAAAACAAATCAATTAAGTCAAAAATTATTATTGTCAACATTCGTGATGAAGTAAATTTGGACATATTTATATGACACGTGGTGATTTTTTTAAGTGATTCACTTAGGTAAGGTGATAATAATTGAATTAACGTACTAATTGGTTATATAGATTTTTATTTGGTTATATAGATTTTTATTTTATGTTATTATTTTAATTATTATAGTCATAATAAATAAGAATATTTTGTATTTATCTGTAAATAAGTATTAACTTGTCTTGATTTTTACACTTTGCATAACCCTAAATATCATCATAGGCTCATTTTCCATTAAAAAAAACTATAAACTCTGTTTTAAAAGTTGTTTACATAGAACAAGTAAAATCTCTTTGGAACATAAGTTATTTTGAGGTAAGGAGGTTGACTCTACATTAATCCTAATATTTGTGAATTGAATTTTATTGTTGTTATAATTATTGTAAGAATTGTGTTAATTCCTATGTGTAAATGAATTTAATATATATTAAGTAAATGAATTAGGAGATTATGGAAGAAAAAAGTCATTAAACAATGTATTAGGTGTGTGTGGTATGGTGATCAATAACATCAACTAATGATATGACATCATTTAATGACCTTAGATAGATACACTTGTTAGGTGCATTAATATATGACATGACCATTAATCGATGAGAGAAGGTTATCTAAAGATCTTTTGGATGTTAATCTTTTTAGTTATCTTGTCTAAAACCAATTCGTCTAGGCCAATTATTGACTAATTGATCTTGGTTAATTCATCTAATGATCATTTTGTCTCATCATACTTGAACAATATGACAATAATATGTATATAATGCCTAAAGTGTGAAGAGTTTTATTGGGAAATATTTTTCACAGGAAAAGAGAGAAAAGAAAATTTGATTGTAATTTATGTTCTCTCAAGTCTTAGGACACTTTATATCCATGGAAATCACATTTGAATTGAAAATCAAGTCTTATTACAACACTAAAAAAGTGTTAGTGATTTTTACTTACATACATTGACATTTGTATTGATTGAGAAGAAATCTAAGTTGAATTGATGAGTTCATTATATTAAAAGAGAGATACACTGAACTACATACTTGAGTAATTGAGTTAAATACTTATTTTGCAAGGTATGATTTTTAAAGACTTAATCCATGATGAATTACTATGATTGATGGTTTATCATATTAGCAAGTTGACTTGAATGTAAATGTTTTGTTCAAAAGAAACATAAAGAAGGACTTGAAGTTGTAATGTCCAATCATAGTTTATGTTGTTATTTAGTGTATTGTCTTTAATGTCTTTAATCAGGACGTTTGTGTGTGTGTTTTTTTTTTTTGTCTTTGATAGTTCAAGTTGTGTTCAACATTAATGTTACAAGTTATATTATGACATATGCATTTTACAATTATAAGCAAATGGAGATCAAATATCTAATACATATACATTTTAAAACAATTTTGTCAAGAATTGGTGAAAAAGAAAAATTAGGAAAAAATAAGAACATGAAAATATGGAATGAACAATGCTAGCCAATGAAAAATTAATCCTTACTTAGCCATAATGAATCTTGACTCAATCAATCTCTTCTCTCACATAGCCAACTAGGGACTTTGAGAGTATAATATTTCAAGAATCAAATTTTGTCCATTCAAAACAACCTTTCACCCAACAAGCTCAAGCTTTGGCTCAATGACTTTTTCATCTCCACTACTTTTTCATCCTTTTGTTTTATTTTCTTGTCATTCAAAATCATAAGTAACTAAATTCTTTTTTTATTAGGGTTAAATGTAATCACTACGCTTTTTGTATATTTTAATTATATTTATATGTAGTCTCTATTTCCATTTTTCATTGTGGTTTTATCTTTGTGTTTATTAATTATTGTGACTTGATCAACCATAAATTAATTATATTTGTAAGAGATTGAAAAATCCTTATAAGTTCATGACCTAAAATCAAACAATTAATAAATCATTTGCATGAGAATGGGAAATGGATTATTGATCATGTGTTAGATCCTTGAACTTAAAACATGGTTATCTTATTGATTTGATAAGGGAAGTAATTTAATAAGATATACTTTAAATATTAGATTAAAATTATTGATGATAAAGATTTATGGCAAGAACATTTATTTATTGAGATTAATAGGCCAAGAGAATGAGGTGGTGAAGTCTAAGTCTACCAATGTTCATTTATACACTTTTATCCATTCTAGTTATCTTCAACATATAAAACTTGTTTAGTTTAAATGTTCCTCTTAAATTTTAATCATCAAATCATGTTTAAGCCTTTTAGCATAATTTTTTGTATTAACTCAAGTGTTTGCGGATTCAAAACATTCATTCTCATTTTAAAACTACCGAAAATAATGATGCACTTGCTAAAAAGTCAACATCTATTATAATCAACCCGATCATATTAAGTACATTAAATAACTCTTGACTACAAGCACGAGTATGAAAAATAATCATAAAATAATTTCTCAGAAAGAGGATAAACAATAGACACTCATGAGTGAAGTTTAACTTTATTAGGTGAAAAATATTAAAAGAGAAGTTGGTAGACAATATAGGGTTATACTTGTAAGTTTGTGTTTTCATTTTCAATTCTCTACATGTCTAAAAATATGTTATCTTAAAAGTAATACTTCATTAAATAAAGGTGATGACAGATCTTCTAAAGAAATAAGGAGGTCCGGTTATCAAAATTTTGTAACTTACATTAATATTTATGATTTTGGATCTCTTTTTATTATATAACTTTTATTAATATCTATGATTTTAGCTAAACTTAATCATTATTAAATATATTTATAAATTTGATTTTTCACCTTTTTATCTTCTTTTATTTTTTTATATTTATTTATTATTTATTAATAATATATTATATGACATTGTCAATGTTAATGAATAAGATCGGTTGTTGATAACACAAGACAATATATGAGTTCGACTCTTGTGAAATAACGTGGAGACAGTAATATGTTCTTTTTTATATAATCTCTTTATTTATTTAAGAGTATTTTGAATAACTTGTCTCCCCTATTATGGCATTCAGACTAGGCATCAAAGTATACTTGATTTTCTTTTACACTTTCCTCTCATGCTCCTGTATATCAAATTTTCAAGAATCTAGAATTGAAAAATATTTTCCAAATTAGACATGCAATCTTCAACGGGAAATATAAAAGGTAATCTGCATAATGCAGGTTGCATACGTGATGCAAATTTCCCCTCTTGAGATGATAGTGATAAATGTCAATGTATCCGACAAACTACCATGACACAAACCTGATCACATGTAGAATTATCCATTCCCTGACACTCTAAACCTATGTCTTACCAGTTAATTCTGCTCAACATCAACTACTACAACGGATAATGTTGCGACTTTTCATTTGTCTCGCATTTCAAACTGGTTGAATTTTCCGATGAGTATGTTGTCAAGGACAAGGTTACGTTTGAGGAAAGAGCATGCGTTGGTTGTGTCAAGTTATTAGAAGTTTGGTGGAACGAGAGAAGAGGATAAAGAGGGGATATTTAATGGGAAAGACGACAAAATTGTAAGGAGGTGGGAGGGAAGTACCACAGTATCTGGCGAAATGTAAGAAGTGTCATGGTGGAGTGCACTGCATGCCAAGATCTGGATTCTTGTTCGGTCTATAGAACCACGTTGCATGTTCACTGGACAAATGTCGTCTTCAAATGTTGGCGCCAAAACTGCAACTCCGTTCTCCATCATCACTGCTTAGAAGCCTCTCCACCCTGGCACTCCTCGCCGACAAATGTACCACCCTCGACCAGCTGAAGCAGCTCCACGCCTACATGATCGTTTCCGCCGTCGCCACCGCCGATCCCTTCGCTGTCAGCCGCTTGCTCTCCTCCTGCGCCCTCTCCCCCTTCGCCGACCTGTCCCATGCTTCCAGAATCTTCCGTTCCACCCCCAACCCCAATTCCTTCATGTGGAACACCCTCATCCGCGCCCAGCCCCACGCTCCTCACGCCCTCTCCCTCTACCTTGCCATGCGTCGCAACGGCGTCCTCCCCGGCAAACACACCTTCCCCTTTCTCCTCAAAGCATGCTCCCAGTTGCGCAACCTCCCAGCCTGCAAACAGCTCCACGTCCACGTCATCAAGTTCGGTTTGGCTTTGAATTTGCACGTGGCAAATGCTTTGGTCCGGTGTTACTCTGTTTCGGGCAATTGCATCGATGCACGCCAAATTTTTGATGAAATGCCCGAGAAAAGTTCGAGTCTTTGGACCACTATGATTTGTGGGTATGCTCAGAATTTCTGCTCCAATGAGGCTTTGAACCTTTTTGATGAGATGGTTGGCGCGGGCTTTGAGCCCGGTGGTGCCACCCTGGCTTCGGTGTTGTCTGCGTGTGCTCGGTCGGGTTGTCTTGAGCTTGGGGAAAGGATTCATGACTTTGTGGAGGTGAGAGGGATTGGAGTTGGAGAGGGGGTGATTCTTGGGACGTCATTGGTTTACATGTATGCCAAGAATGGGGAGATTGCGAAGGCACGGAGGTTGTTTGATGAAATGTCAGAAAGGAATGTTGTTACATGGAATGCTATGATCTGTGGGTTGGGTGCTCATGGACATGTGGAAGATGCTCTTGGTTTATTTGAGAAGATGGAGAGGGAGCAGGCTGTTGTTCCCAATGGTGTCACCTTTGTTGGAGTTTTGTCTGCTTGTTGTCATGCTGGCTTGATTGATGTTGGTCGTGAGATTTTTCGATCGATGAAGTTGGTGTATGGAATTGAGCCAAAGATTGAACATTATGGATGCTTGGTTGATCTTCTTGGGAGAGGGGGGAGGTTACTGGAAGCGGAGGAGCTGGTGAAAGGAATGCCGTGGAAGGCTGATGTGGTTATTTTGGGAGCTCTTTTGGCAGCTAGCAGAAATAGTGGGAATACTGAGGTTGCCGAAAGAGTGATGAAGGAAATTCTTGCTCTGGAACCGCAAAATCATGGTGTTCATGTTGCTTTGTCGAATATGTATGCAGAGGCTGGGCAATGGCAAGAAGTTTTGAGACTGAGGAAGACGATGAAAGAAGAGAAACTCAATAAAGCGCCAGGATGGAGTCTTGTCACCACTTAGAGTTTCTGTCATGCCTTGTGTAATAGCAAAGACTGATCATTGTGGAAAAGATTTGATTCTTTTGTTATTAGCAAAAGGTGAGGAAGTGAAATATACTGGTGCGCACATCCTGATTTTAAATTAGTTATGATGCAAAATGAACAAGTCTTGGAAAACTGCATGACTCAATCAACTGATGCAGTCCTTTCGAAAATAATCATGGTGATAAACGAAAAAGCGTGACCACACTGCCGCTGTATCACAGTTGGATTTATAGAATACCACAAAAAGACATTATTACATCCTAGTTGCAACGACGTAAGTATACTGCGATTGTTTCAAAGGATATCATTTATTTTTGTTAAGAACTACATGAGCAGGAACAGTGCAAAAAGATATCCCTGTGTGCTTGGTGTGGAAGCCCTTATACTGAGAAACTTATACAGATCTTACTTCTATCCAATCCCTGGTATTGGCTGTGACTCAAGGACAGAAGGGAAGAATTCTTTGAAGCTTTTTTTACAACTGTAAACTGCTTCTTTGTTGCGTATATACAGGTATAGCCTTTTATCGTTGCTAACTTACATGATTTAAGACAATACACTACCAACATCTTTCAATATGTAGTAAATGCCAAAGTTCAATGCATGAGTTATGTTCTTACTTGTGAGCTTGCTTTAGGTGTGAAACCTTGTTCGCGTGTCAGGACTCGCTGAAGCATAGGAGAGCTACATTCAGAAGTTGAGTAGATGAAAGGGAAATTCAAGATGGATTGTTATCTCTTGATTCAGAGAACATGCAGAAGAACTTTTGATTATTGACTTCCAGTATATTATTGAAGGATATTAATCTAAGACTCTGCTCCTGATAATAATAATAATAATAATAATAATAATAATAATAATAATAATAATAATAATAATAATAATAGTAATAATAATAATAATAATAATAATAATAATAGTAATAATAATAATAATAATAATAATACATAAAATGTATATGTATTGGTTTTTCTTATTAAGACATAGATTAGAGATTGTGTTTGTATTTGTTGCTGCCTGTGATAGTATTACAATTGTGCTTGTTAAGGATTATATTAGAGTGAGTGAGAGATTAATCTAAATTGTAAGTATTGATTTTTGGGAGGAAAATTAATGTTTGAATAATTGATTAGTTATTATCTCGGTTAAAATAGTGTCTTAATTGAAGATTTTAAAAAATATTACACAGGAAAAATATGAGATAAACATAAGAACTATTTATGCTTCTAATGATTTGTTGTTTTCGTTTACCATTTATAAATTTTTTTATATGTTTTTTTTTAATTTGTTACTTATACCAATGATAAAAAATTATGATTTCTATATTTTAATTCTTTTAAATACGACACTTATAATTTCACAACAATGAATGAAATTTACATTTTTTGTTATTTTATACCTTGATTATTTTTGTCAATTCTTAACCTAATAGATAATCTTAGAAATTATAATATGATTAAAATAATATTTCATTTATTATAATATATTGTGAAATATGTTGTCTAAAAGATAACTCGGCAAAATAATGGTGCTGAAAAAAAATACCAAAATAATGTTGACCCAATTGATTTTATGCATGTTTTTTCTTTTTAAAGCAACCTAAAATTGTAAAAAGAAAATAAAAAATAATGTTTTTATAAATAAAAATACAAGTCCAATATTGATTAAATCCAAGTTACTCAATCCACTCAATAGTTAATATATTCAACTTTTTCTTAAAATAAATTTTAGAACTTATTTCCATTTAATTAAAATATTAGAGATAAGATTATCTAAAGTTGAATCTAACGTATGCTTTAATTTTTTTTAATCTAACCGTTCTAAATAAATAATAAAAATTAAATTCAAATAAAATGAAAGATGAAGAACTAATAATTACAACATATCTTTATTATTTTTATTTTTTTAACTTAATGGTTACAGCTAATCACGATAAACAGTTAAGAGGGAAGTTACAATAATCATAACGTTTAAAATAATGGTTAAAAAAAATATTTAAGATGAGAAGTGTCTTTTTTTTGCATTATTATTAATATATATATATATATATATATATATTATAATTAAAGATTATTAGTTTTCAAACTAATAATAAAATTTAATATTGTTTCTAATGAGTTAATAATATAAAAAATTATATTACCTTTTTTTTTTATCAAAACTGAAGCTTTTTAATTGAAATACTATGCTAGTGTATAATTTTGTTTTTTACAAAGTCATCTTATATTGTCATACAATTAAAAATTGTTAATTTTTACAATATTTGTTTAAAATTATTTTAAAAGTAGTTTCTACTTACCTAGTAGAATAGAAATAAACTCTGTTAAGTATTAGTGTGGAACGCAAAGACGAGACAGGGCATAGGCGACAGTGCGTTTGGGCACCCAGAGCAATTCACTTTCTTCTGCTTCGGACTTCATCGTCATCTCTTTATTCAACTATCGTTTCTGCAACTTCAACAACTCTTTTATTCAGCCATGTGAGCATTCACCACCTCCTTCACCTCCACTACCCTTCTTCCTTCAAATAAAAAACCCTTTTTAAAAAATCAAATAAAAATGTTACCATCCTCTACGATTGCGTAATTGGGTTTGTTTGTTTTTTTGCGAAACACAAGGAAGCCGAAGGCGTCAGTGAATCGACCGCCCACACCAGATGTTGTCGAAAATGCCCCTGAAAGGGAACCCACGCTTCAAGAGCTCATCAACATCAAGGTTTCGTCTTTTTATTTGTTTAGTCTGTTTCAATTGTTGGGGTTTTGTTAGAATGGTTGTTATAGTGTTGGAAAGTTTGTTGAGTTTGGTAGTTTTGATGGTGTTGTTGGTTTTCTTGAATGCTTGTGAAGTTGATCGAGACTGGAGAGAAGGAGCGCCTCATGGAGCTATTGAGGGAAAGGCTTGTTGATTGTGGTTGGAAAGATGAGATGAAAACTCTTTGCAGGTATTTTCTTACTGAAGAAATAGTATATGCACTTACAGGAAATATATTGAAACTAATGGGTTTATTAGAAGGGACTAATTTCCTCTTTTAGTGTTGTCTGCGTTGTCTTCAAATGAACTTATCTGTGGGGAAAAAAAGTATAAAATGGTTTTTAGATGATCATTCAATCATTAATTATCATATAAGATAATAGGACAACATTGTTAACATTAATAAATATCACTTAAAGTCATACAGTATGTATGATTTTAGAGCTGTAAAACAAGGATTACTTCTTGATTTTCTATGTAGAAACTTTTACATATGGGAGACACGAGCTAACGGACATTCTCTTATGCTTACACCCTTTAATTTGTTTTCGACGTAGTATATATTGACAAAAACGTGAAAGATTTGAATACTCTAGCATCTTACATTATTTATGCCCGTTTGGTTTAGAATATCAGAGACCACAGGCAGTATGTTATATCAAATTAAATTACTAATCTAACTTCTTTCCAATTATTAAGGAAAATTTCATTAGCAGTATGATTTTATTCTATCCTAAAGAAGTTCAGGTTGTTTTATGTTGTATTGGCTGAACTAAGATGTATCATGCTCCGATCATAGTATTTAATAGTGTGCGATAGCGCAGCTATTATGCTGGAGTGGCTACCCACCACCATGGTGGGTCACGTGGTGTTGCACATGAAGGTCATGGCCGTCTTCCTGCCTTTTGTGGGTTTTTGCAATATGTGCACTGTTTCTTGTTTACCCTAGGGGTCTGAAAGACCCTCAAAACGTTGACATTTTGGCTCACTATTACTGTTAAGAGAAGCCCCCAAAATTATGTTTTGGCTTACAGTTACTGTTTTCATCATGGGTAAAAAAGTAAAACCCTTTGTTGTAAAACTTCTCAATGTTTCATTTTCTCATTTCCTTTCACAAAACACCTACTCATTTGTACCTCTCAACTCCCTGTCAACTTCCAGCTACCAGAGGTGTTTCTGACAGAGCTTCCAGCGGGGATTGACTTGGTTATTAAATTTAATCAGAATATGATCAAAATAGCAGTCATCCCACTACAATAGTGGGGCTTTGGGAGGTGGCTACTCCTGTCCACTTTCCACCACTTCCATTAACTACTATGGCTCCAAATTCTATTTGACTCAACGTATAGATGCAACCTAAGGTTGATCATGTGCAAACCGTGTTGTTTGACCTTAAGAATTAGTAGATTACTTCTACTTTTGGTTTGGTGTCCGCTTTGTATATCTGTCTAGTGCTTTGTGTGTATATTGTGCTAAGTTCATTGCATGCTTTAAGTTGGCACTTAATTCTAGAACCGTGACACTATACACAAAATGATTCCATGGTAATGTCAGGTATTCTCCCTGGTTGTACATTCTTTCAACTTTGCTGTATTCTCCCCTATTGTTCTCTTATTGTTTCTACCTATTTGTGTTCATAAACAATCACTTGTGAAGTTGAAATTTATTGGACTTTTTACTGCAGAGCCGTTGTGAAGAAGAAGGGGAGGAATAATGTTACTGTTGATGAACTTGTACATGTAATTACTCCAAAGGGCCGAGGTAGTGAATTAATTGTTTCATAGCTTGATTTATCTTTTTTACCTGCATTTGAAAACTTACCAAGCTTAATGGCATTGTCTGATATATTTAGTCTACCTCACTTATAGGATAAAACTTTTTTGTTGTTCATGTTGTGCATATAGAAATTAGTATTTACTTGATTGAAGCACCTCATTAGGTCAACACCACCTAACAGATCTTCAAAATCTATTACTACGTGTTTAAACATTAGAAACTGAACAATTATACCACGTAGTGGGTTTTCTTTTGCACAAAAAATGTCCAACTGACAGCATAGAGAACTTGTCAAACTTGTTTTTGGCAGCCTCCGTTCCTGATACCATAAAGGCTGAGTTGTTGCAGAGGATTCGCACATTTCTTGTATCTGCTGCTCTCTGATGTGTCAAGGTTTGATCGGTGTTAAACCTCACCAATATGTTGTAAAGATTATGGGTGGACCTAGTAA